GCATTAAAGTGTTAGTTGATCAAGTGATTGATTGTAAAAAAAGTATTCCAGGATTATCCATCTAAAGACAGTTACATAGTTACATAGCTTATAGGCTCTCGACGTAATTAAATAGAAGCCTCAAGCAAATATGCTGTATTATCCAAAAACAATAAGATAATTTATATTACAGATTATGGATATCCTTGCAGAGATATTTTTCTAAAAATTCTTTAAATTAATTGGATTTTAAAATTATGACAGGACATAATGGAAGGGATGCATTATTAAGACTTCCTAAGCTAAATATAGAAAGATATATCTAAGCTATTGGTAGGTCACTCAGGGTTCATTTGATAGCTAGTTGATTGCTCCTTTTTTTAGGGGACCCCCCAAGAAAGAGCAATCAACTACCGTGATTTTGGGTAGATAAGCCGCCCTGACGTATACACCACACACATGATAATTGACCGAAAAAAATGAAAGTTGATCGGATAAGCTGCACCGCCGCAACAAAGTACTCAAATATAGCACTTAATATTCAGTAATTGCCCTGCTGAATTTGATGTCATCATCATCGATAACATCTTATAACGTTTACAACATAAATATAATCAGTAATATATAAATAAATAAGGAAGAAACATCTTAACCTTGAACTTGCCGAAAACAAACTCTGATGATTTCTATTGGATATTATTTTTATGGGTTCAATAAATTTTGTTTATCACCTTAAATCACCATATTATGAAAAGGAATATGTAAATTAGATAAGCAAACAGAAATCTTTAAGTAAATTAAACTACATTTATTTATACAAAATCCGACTAATTGATGTCAGAATTAAGTAAATTTAACAAATGACCATTTAAGGTCAATTTCATCATTCTATTCTAAATCACTTCTTGCAACGTCACTATCTTCACTTTCATTTTCTTTTTCGGTGATTTTCAATTTAATGAAAGCTGATTGTATCAGCTCGGACTGATTGCCATGCGTTACAGACGCATAAGACAACCTCCTCATACGAAGCTTTTCTCATTCGTCTGGAATTTGTGAAGGAATAGAGTCCACTTTGCATCCATTTCTCCCACTTGCCCCGTAGTTCATGCTTGAAAATTCCACTTGAGATCTAGTGGCTGTAAAATTTTTGTAAGCCCACTTGGTATCACTGAGACATCAGTGCTAAGTTTTTTTTTTGCTTCAGATCTTACCGTATCCATTAAATGGAATCGCAATGAATCCAGAACGACACGTCCTCCCGGGGTTGGAAAAAAAGCACCTTTCCTTTTTATGACAAATTTCTTTCAGCCAAATATCACTTCTTCGCACATTTGTCCTTTTTCGTTGGCGCAAATAATATTCCTTTAGGGAAGTTTCCTTTCGGAATTGTTTTTCTTTTGAAAATTATCAAAGGGATTAACTTTTCTCCATTGGCGTCACAACCCAAAACACAAGTAAAAGAATTCTTTTTCATTCCCGGTTGTTAACATTGAAATAGTTTTTTCACCTATTGAATGAACAGTTCTACTCAAAGAACAGTCAAAAGTAACGGACACTTTGTCCACATTAATTATTTGCCCTCTTATCAGTTTTTTTTTTTTTTTTTAAATTTTCTTATATGTTATATGTGTACTCCAAAAAAGCTATCTTCTCACCCCCCCAAGCCAGTCAACTGTTGTTTTGGTCCTGACAGATAATTTCTTTCGCTTCATGCACCTGAAACACTAATTAAGTCCTCCAACAAAATTTTAATGCTCATTTGTTATTCTTAGTCATTTTCTCTTATTCTTTCTGTTCGGACTTCCACCGCTCATCGCTGAATGCATCGCTCATCAACTTGAAATTCTTTATCCGGAGCGCGATTTCCAATTTCAATCGCTTTCTTCACTGTCGAAAGCTTAAAAAGCAGCTGTATAACTTTTTCTTTGAGAAGGATCTGTAATAATAATAATATTTTTAAAGCGCGAATGATAAGGCTAGGAAAACGCCAGCTACAAAGCAGTAAAAACGTGTAAGAATGAACACAGCACTTGGAAAGTAAACGTAGCTGTTTCCATTAAAACAAAAAGTCATAGGAAAACATGAGCGAAACAACATGGAATTTAGCAGAAAGTACACGCATTATTACGAAAGTACAGAGAGCACTACCTACCTCAGTTAGGCGACTCTGAACTTATTGCACTTAGCGTAATCTCGGGTTCTTACTTTTTCGCATGTGTGTAGCTTGCAATCTGAACTAGCAAAGTTTTCAGAACAGAGGAAAAATAAAATTCCCTCAGATACGGTGCCGACTTAAATTTTCAAAGTTTAAACACGTATAAGCCGCAGCTTATCTACCCGAAATTACAGTAGCTATGAAATGAACCCTGGGTGACCTACCAATGGTATCTTTAATTAGTCAGACAATAATGAGCCTATTAAAAGGAATCTGGCACATATGCTGGGAAAACCACGACACCATCCTATAGCCAATATGTGTTCTACCAGGTGTCAAACTAAGATGCAAACTAAATGCAACCAAGTTTTATTCACAAATAAAATCTAGATAACATTTAATTTTGTTCATCAAAATTTTCAGCTTAGCCTCTGATAAAATATTAAAGGAAACAAAATGGATTTAAAATTTTGATGTTCTTCTAAACTATATGTCATCCAGAGAACAAAGGATGGCTTCAGCACTTCATACCAGGCTATGTAGGGTGCTGATTTTCAGAAAGTACCAAATATGCTGTTCTCAGATATGAATACTAAAACAATGTCATTTTGTTCTGAACTGATTAATATATACAAGGCAAAAGCTGCACTAATTGCCTAGAGTGGCTAAAATGCTGAGAACATTATCATAATTATTTTATTTCTATAAAATAAAATACAATTGTCATTACAATACTTAAAATTTATGATTCAAATCTTTTGGAACAATATAGTGCAGCAGATGCATAGATATTGTCAGATCACAGTTTAATGAACTTCTGTCTATGAAGTATCTCACATTTTAGGATATTAAGAACAAAACACATGATTATATAAATCACTTAAAATACATAACATATAATTATAAGTATGTGCATGATTGATAAACAGGAATATTACTCTATTCATGTTGTATAAAATTTTTGCCTGTATATATTACATTTTAATCACAAACCTCGTCACATACCAGATGGCTGAAAATCAAAGGGGGGGGGGAACCTAGACGCCACTACGATGGATCATAAATATATGAAGTCATACAATTTTTATAATAATGCATTTAAAAATATGCAGATTTATGTAATAGATCAAAACTGCTAAATCTGCATTTTAAAATTTATTACCCTACTTGATACACACTCTAATAAATTATAATTAATTCAAAAATACTTGTATCTAAATATTTTTAAAATAAACAATGAATTAAAAAAGTTAGACTACTGAATAATAAAACTATACAATTAAGCCATGAGAAAAAAATTTAATAGTAAAAAGATAAATTTTAGAAACAAATAATAAAATTAACAATTTATTAGGTGTTTAAAAATGAAACATTCTAAAAAATGGGTATTAAATTTATAAGACTTCAAACGTTCCATAACAGAGCTATTAAACATTTCACGTTGGGAATACAGATATCATAGTTTACACGTAATAACACGCAAAATTCAGTATTTACAAAAGTACGCTATATGTGCATTATTTACAATAAAATTATGGAAATAATCTGAAGAATGGATTTCTTAGACTTGATAATTATCTAACAAAGAATGAATGACTATATAAACGACATTCACAAAATTTTCATTCAATGTGCATAACCTCCCCCACATATACATCAAAATATACTTTCCTTTGTTTACAATCATGTCAATTATATTAGAATCATTGCAGAATTTCAGCTACACCCTCCCTTTACAAAACTACCTTTTTTCATCTTAATACATTAAAAATATTTTCCCTCTTTTACAGCTTTACTTTTGCACAGATTCCATTACAAAGAATATTTTGTTATCAAGTACAGCATATGGGCTAAGAATATTTATCAATAGGGTAGAGCAATGATTGTGTAAAAAGTACAACAGATCATAAAATTAAGTAGATTAATCCATTCGTTAAGCAGCATAAACTAGTTTTTTTTTGGGGGGGGCTTCACACTATGACATGCACATGTGTAATAGTTACAACACGAACACAGCTCAATAAGAATTCAGGACAGATATGCAACTTCAAATATATAAAATACAAATACACATTCATGAATAACTTTGGGCTTTAGTACATTTTTATAACTATCTATAATATAAATAAAATTTATTCTCAATGATGTCTGCAATATTATAATTTTTTAATATAATATAAATACAGTTACCTAGACATTAAAAGGAATAAAATCATGCCAAAAATTTTATTATGTGATGGATAGTTAAAAAAAAAAAAGACATATAAACATTAATATTTTTTGATTAAAATGATCACTGATTATTCTATTTCTGAAAAATGAAATAAAGGCTCTTTTTAAAACTCAACCTTCTGAACTGAACATATAAAATGGCATCAAATTTATAAAAATTTTGGCTTTAGAGATAAATCAAGAAAGAAAACTGATAAAATGAGGATGAATTACAAAAGTTTGCTTCACTTAGAAGCAATACTTAAACAAAATAAAATATAATTATGAATCTGAAGTTTCATAGCAGATACGATGGGATACATAAATGCTATCGCAAATTACTATCGATGATGTGTACACACAGATTTCTTTTTCTATTACGGCATTATCACAGTAAAAATATCACAGTTTAAAAATGGATATTTCAATGGAACTTACATTCTATATAAAAAATGCATAAAAATAAAATTTATGTAACAAATTATTCAGACTAACATTTAACACAATAACAACAACTAATGTATATATGTGCGCTTAAAAATTTATATACAAATACATAAACATTTAAAAACATAACTATTTACAAGTAAAAAAATGCTCATTTTAACAATAAGCATAATAAAAATTTCATATTTTAGTAATTTTTTTTTACCTGTTACAATGATCACCTGTAATTCTTCAATCTTCGTAATCTTTCTCTCGAAACGTGCCTTTCCACTTCATTTTCAGTGGGATGTTTGTTAATTTCTGCATCTTTGTTTCCATACATTTCAGTAACAATACGAATATTTTGCTTTTTACATTTTATATTTACATCAGTCTCATCATCACTGCTGCTATTAATAAAAGCTGCTTCAACATCTTTAGTCATCTGTATAAGCCGTTTACGAGGTAGGGTTCCAAGGCGCATATGAACTGGTACTCTTTTAACAGCATCAGGACCTATTTCAGATGAAAAATACTTCAATAATCAAGAACGAAATAAAATAAATGTAGGGCACAGTTAAAACCAGGCAAGATTCTACATAGGATCACATAAGATAATACTTGATTAACAAAGCTTTCAGAGAAATTTTAGGTCACATTCATTCTTAAATCCTTTATTTTGAAATTATATGATTGAATTATTTCTTAAGTTATAATTTATTATGTTAAAACATATTTTTTCAAGTTAATTAAATTTCTGTACAACAACATTCAATTTTTGTATGTTTTAATCATTTTTCATTGTTTTATACGGTTCCAACCTAGAATTTACAGCTAAGTGTGTGGAACCTTGAGAACTGGTAAGTGAATAATCGCTTTAGTTCAGAGAACAGAAACTCAAGAAGGATTAATTACCTTTATTGCTCAAAATAAAGTTTACAGATAATCCTTTGTCAGGACATACAGAACAGCCTCTACTTGGACTTTAACTCAAGATTACTAAGAACTAAAACTTAACTAAAAAGATATAGCCAAAGCTATCAAAATTCTGCAGGAGTTGGCCCCTTAAATGCTAACTAAACAGTGAAGCTAACTACGACCTTAGTTACGGCTGATCGTAGTAATAGCTTAGAGAGAGTGTAGCCAAAAGGGCGAACGTGCACTAGTCACAATCTCTGGCTTTCTAACAAAGTCAGTGGAACTTCGACTTTAAGACTGCTCTTTCTTCATTTGCATTTAACCATGATTCTGAAAACACATTCTGGTGGGAAATTATAAGCTGAAATTAGGAGCAACAGGAAAGTGGCTTAAAAAAACAGTTAAAAACTTAGGATAAACCTTAAAGCTTTATTATTTAACTATTAAGTTATCAAAAGGTGAGTATACAATTTTCTACTACATTAAAATACAACAATTATGCATCACATTCGTCCAGTAATTCTTTGTCATATGACAATTCCTTACCAACACTATTTTTCAATATTTATACTTGGTATTTCATCTATTTCAGATTAAGCAATTGTTAGTTAAATATTATCATTTAAATTTTTTTAAACTTAATTAGAAAGAAACTTTTTTAATTAAAAATGCAACAGATGCTCCAAGCTTAATTCTGAACAGTGAGTTTTGTACAGCAAAGACTATTCAGTAATTTATATCAATTTCAAGTTGTTTAGGCATAGACCTTGAACCAGTTGCCAACCAGATCATATCCTTCTTCCTTAAAATAATACACAAATGCTTAAGCTTAACACCTAGAACAGAAGTGTTCAACCTGCGGCCCAAAAAGCAAGCGCAATAAACAAAAGTAAGATGAAGATGGCATCCCGATGATACATTTTATTGTTATGATTGGGGTTCAAGGCTCGGTTATTTGGCGCTCCAAAATAAAATGCATTTTAAGTGGCCAAATAAAGGCAAAAAATTATTTAAATTTTAACACATTGGACAAACATAACCCTAACACTGTGAAAAAGTAGATTTCAAAATTTTCAGAAAAATAACCAACATTTAATTTTTTTTAAAACTCTATTTACAGTCAACATGCCTAGCTGCACAGTTATGTGTTATTCATGTCATCATTATTTGGCAATTCATACATTTATGAACAACTATTTTCAAAAGTGAAGCACACTAAAAGTAAAATTAGAATCAGAATATAAGATTAAGGAAAATATTAAATTATTATCATGATTTCTTGTTATCTTTATACACTGGTTATCATAAATTAAGGAAAAATCACGATTACTGAAAAAGTTACATGTAGAATTTAATGAAACTTACCCACAATATACAACACATAGTAAGGTATCAAATAACATAAAAAGAAATTACCAGACAAATATGGTAGTATAGAAATTAGGACATGTATAAAATGTACAAATCGAAGGTGTCAGTTTGCTATAGGAAAAGTACCTTCAATATGGAATATGATCGCTTCTAGAAGCAATACAGCAATGTGTGATGCTTTCAATTATGTGGTCTATCAGTTCCATAGGAAGCGAAAGCCACTGCTCTAGCAAAGCAGTTGTAAGCGCGACAAGGGTCTGAGGAGGCGCATTGAGAGCAGCTAGACGTCTCTAAAGCATCCCAAATGTGCTCGATAGGATTCAAGTCCGGGGATCGAGCTGGCCACTCCTTGCGCATAATTGTTTCCTGCTGAAGATAATCATCTACGATGCAAGCCCTGTGTGCTCTTGCGTTGTCGTCATGTAACAGGAAAGCATCACCTATTGCCCCGGCACATGGGTGCACATAAACATCAAGGATGTCATCACTATAAATCTGAGCATTCACGGTTCCCCTTGGAAAGACATGGAGGTCTGTGCATCCACCCAAAGAAATGCCACCCCAAACACAGACACTGCCCCTTCCATATGCATCTCTTTCACGGATGTTTGACGGATTATAACAGGTTCTAGGCTCTCTCCATATCAAATAACGCCTACTATCGCTTTCTAGACTAAACATGGACTGATTCGTAAAGAGAACTGCTCTCCATTGATCAGGCGTCCAGTGGACATGTTGTCGGCCCACTGAAAACGGTCCCTCCTATGGTGTGACGTGAGCGGCACACAAATGGCCGGTCGCCTTGCATACACACTACCTTTGTAAAGCCTTCTACACACAGTTGACGTTGACACGAACTTTCCGGTGGCTGCAGCAAGGGAGGATCTAAGAAAAATCGCCGTTGCGGTTCTATTCCTGCGTGCACATAATGTCAAGTATCGGTCAACGGCGCTCGTCGCAGCAGTTGGCCGTCTTTGGCTGAACCTCCTAGATGCCAAATCTGTGGTTTGAAATGGCCTCAAAAGTCTATGAACCACAGAAGGACTCACATTTAGACATCTGGCCACTTCTGGTTGACTTTTTGTCCTGCCTCTAGTCTCCCAATGGCTCTCCATCACAGTTCTGCAGGCAAATGATGCCTGGAGGTCATTGTTACAAATTGGCTATCTCAGATTTCTGATGCCACTGTCACAGTGAAATATGTGGGCTGGCTCTCAAACATGGACTTTTATGCTCCTCGAAGACGACATATTCTGAAAGCAGCGCCACTAATTTGCATATCGCAGTTTTACTCAGCTACTCTTACTTGGCAACATATTCAAATTTTACACAGTTTGGCTTATTTTTGAGGGATTTATCGCTATTTTTTGTGATTTTTCCTTAATTTATGATAACCAGTGTAATTATAAACAAAATTTATAATGAAATTTTATGCATAAAATGTCAAAATAATTCTATGTTGCTGCCATTATATTAAAAAAATCATATAGTTTAAATTACTTAAATATGTTTTCACGTTTTTTCTGCTCATCAGCCATCATTAATGTTTGGCAGTGGCAGCTCACCACGTGAATCAAACAAATCACTGATTCACTTAAATTTTTTTTTTTATATAAGTGCTTATTTATTATTGGTACATGCCGAGTAAATTTGAACTGAAGCAGTCAAACCCACACTTTTTTCTCCTAGAGGAGAAACTCAAAAATTTCTTTTACAAGGTCAAACCCGAGAACTTAAAAAAAACCTGAGCTATTATGTGATTCACTTCTTTGGGAGGACTTTTCACAAGCCACCACAGGTGCTAGGAAGAATTTGTATAACCCGAAGTATCTCATCTTCTTCAAACGTGGCTTAAGGAAGCTAAAAGTTTAGACACCTCTAACCTAGGAGCTTGTAACTCTTTAAGAAACTATTCTACTTAGAGAGAAAAAAGAAAATTAAATAAGCCATTTATCACTATCCAAAAATTTCCTATTAAGTGGTTTGGAAGATTGATAAAACAATTGAGTAGAAATACCGTCGTGCTTAAAATAAAAATTAGTGTTTAAAAGTATACATAATGCAACAGAACTATGATCCATTTCAAAGTCATGAAAATTATAGTTTTTGTCCCTGGTATTGACAAGAAGTTTGATTCTGTGAAAGTAGTAGAAAATTATGTTATTATTTACTTTATGATAATCATACAGGTGGTACATAGAAGGAATCCGTAAACCTGTGAATTGCTGGAGAACAATAATAAAAAAATGGTGATAATTATATCATACAAGAATTCTTTCAGATAAGATAAACTGTTTCAGTTTAAAATATGGCAGAAAATTTTGCAATCATCAAACACTGGGCCATCCGAAAAGTTCTGTGTTTTTTTTATGGTAAATACAAATGAAGCAGTATAAAAATATAAGAAAATTTCACAGCATCACATAAGCAACATTTTCCTCTTTGGCATCTGGAAATTTCCTTTTTAAAAAAAAGGTAGTAAGTTTATTCACAAATAAGTCATCAAGGTGGCAGTCTTCAAATAAATGAACTATAGGTCATTTAAAGAATTTTGAAGTAAATTGAAGAGAGAAAAATCCAAGGAGACAAGATCTAGAGAAAATAGAGGGCGACACAAAACATCTGACCAATACTCAATACTTCTTTGCCTGACATTCATCGAAATTTAGGGTTGAGCTTTGTTATAATGGAAGACAAGATTTAAATTTGTCAGTTCTGGGCACTTTGTCTTAATTTCTGTTTTTTAAATTTATATCTGGGAACTTTATTTTTTCGCACACTTTGATTTGGCGGACACAATTAATCGTATGCAATTCGTTTTTCGTCCCGCCATAGACAAAGTGTTACTTTTTTGGGATGCAACCGCCCAATCAATGTTACTAAAGGAAGTTCTTTTGGCTTACCCCATGATCATTTTCCTGTACATTATCATCTTACTTCCCATCTAGACCCAATCTTCTTCAAAATCCGTGCTCTTTGTGGAATGACTTGGCCAGATTATTTCATAAAAACATTTAACAGTTCTAATTACATGTCTCATGATTTAACTGCTTGCCTAGTTATTTCAATTTAACTTCGAAAATAATATCATATAGTATCTCGTGATTTATGACAGACTTTTTTTTTTATTCAGAATAAACGCAAAAGGTCTTTTCTGTCAATCTGTTGACCTTCATGATGTTTTGTTATGACAGTTTATACCACACCTCTTTCGACTCAATATTCGGGCACATAGACACTCACCTATGAGGCTAATTTTATCCCTGCCAAGCATGCCAGGTTAGTAATTCAGTCTGTTTTGCAATTTAGCAGGAAATATGCAAATTACAGCTTGAAAATTCACTTTTTAGGAATGTGCTAAAGAATCTTGTAGAAATGCACTATTTTTGCTTAGACTGTAATATGTCTTAATGTGTAGTGTCATGCTTCGAGGTCTATCACACTGTTTCTAACTTGAACTAAAAC